TTCACGTCTTTGCATGATCTTTTTCTCCCTTTCATGTAAGGTCTAATAGGTTTTTTGTTTTTTTGGTGTTATGAGTGATTAAATGCAAATTGGATAAGATGAAAAAAAAAATAAAGAATAGTTACATTGATGAGTCTTGTAGGTAAACTAAATGAGGACCAAATTTCTCACGCTGCAGGACAACCAATTATTTATGTTCTCTTAGATTTTAAAAATCTACGTCTTCTATCTCTTTTGTTGACTAATTGTAGTTTTTTTAGACATGGTAGACATGACGGATTAAAGAAATCACTATTAGTAAACTGGTACAAGTTTTACAACAAATAGTACCAATAAAAAAACCATATTTTGTAAAATAGTATCAGTTTTACCACAAATAAAACCACGTCTTCTTCTATGCAGTACCAGTTAGTCATCAATTAGTACTACTTTGTAGAAAAAAACAAAAAAATTGATTACTTAAAATTTGGTCAACATTTTCAAAATTAGTATTAGACCTAGAGTAAGATAATACCACAATTATTATGTTCTAGTACTAGATTCGAGTCTTCAGTAACAACTCCGACGAACATAAAAATAAAAATGCCGAATTTTATAAAATAGTACCAGTTTTACAACAAATAATACCACCTCATCATCTATGCAGTACCAGTTATTGATCAATTAGTACCTACTTTGTAAAAAGAACAAAAAATGGATTATTTCAAATTTGGTCAATATTTACAAAAAGTAGTACCAGTCATAGAGTAAGATAGTACCAGTTTTATGTTGTTGTAGTACCTGATATTGAGTCTTTAATACCACTTGTAACGAACATATAAAAACACTGAATTTCGATCGCAAATGATGTTTATACGACCTATAATCACTCTCACATTAGTTTCTATGAGATTTAAAATTTGGTTAATTAAGTTTAATTACAAATTGGTCATGCACCCAACACACTAATGGAAAAAGACTACTATTACACACTTCATCTCATTGAATAGTGCCAGTTTTGATGGAAATGGTACCGCTTTTTCTTATGCGTAGTACCTGTTATTGATCAATTCATACCTACTTTTGGTCAACCAAAATGGATTATTTCAATTTTGGTCAACATTTACAAAAAGTAGTACCATACCTAGAGTAAGGAAGTACCACTTTATGGTATTTTAGTACCAGATATCGGTCTTTAGTACCACTTGTAATAAACACACAAAGCACCTAATTTTTCGATCGCAAATGATGTTTATACAACTCATAATCACTCTCACATTAGTTTATATAAGATTTAAGATGTTTTTAATTAAGTTTAATCATAAAATGGTCATGAACAACACACTAATGAGAAAACACTACTATACACTTCATTTCATTATATGACACACTCCATCTCATAGAATCATCCTACATGACTACTCCAAATGCTACCTATATATTTTAACATTCCACTATTTTTCATCCAAGTCACGTGTGAAAGATCCACTTGTCATGGTAGATATGAAGGATTAAAGAAATCATAATTCTTAAAATAGTACTTGTTTTATCCAAAATAGTACCACATCTTCTTCTACGTGGTACCTGTTTCTGATCAATTAGTACCTACTTTTGTTATCGAAAATTGATTATTTCAATTTTGAACAACATTTAAAAAAAGTAGTACCAGACATAGATTAAGATAGTACTAGTTTTATATTGTTGTGGTACCTAACATTGAGTCTTTAGTACCATTTGTAATAAACACATAAAAACCCCGAATTTTGATTTCAAATGATGTTTATATGACTCATAATCACTCTCACGTTAGTTTATATGAGATTTAAAATGTTTTTAATTGAGTTTATTCGTAAATTGGTCATGAACTCGACACACTAATGAGAAACTACTATAATACACTTCATTTC